CACAAGACTAATCACTGTCATTGTGGCCTATTTCCATGGTAACTCGCCACCGAGCGGTAATTTAGCCTCACTAGCTAACAACAGAGAGCGAGTCATTATCTTAGCGCCAGGCTAGGGCCTCCTATTTACAGATTCACACCATGAATGAACAATTAGACAGCAGATTGCTGGCCTAAGTGGGGAAGACACAAGAAAAGACAGAGGGAGAGAGGAGACGAGGGCGAGTATGTGGTCACCCCACTGTCCGTCCGTCCACCCAGGAACGCACTGTGTGTTGCATTAATATAACATCATTAATGTTTTTACCCTTAAAGTGGTTCAGCTGAAAAATGTGATTTAAGCACAATTTACTAGTCCCGTGTTGTTCAGAAATCTTGGAAGACAACAGGGTTGCAAAGTGTGGTACTGTACATACAGATGAGTGACAGATGGAGGGAAAGTATGAAATGCTCCACTGCAATAGGAGGCAAAATACTAAACCATATAGTATCTGGTTAGAATAGACAATAATAAAAATAAAGTTGCATAAAATGTAAACACGTCAGCGGAAGAAGTTTATGGGTTGCATTGCAAAATAATTATGTGAGCTTGCACATGCTGACACAGTGTATTACCAGATGACAATCTGTTGCATTTTTGCAAAAGTTTAGTGAGATAAAACTTTTCTATCACAGGACTGTGTTTGCTGGTGTCCTCTGCATTGGTGGCCCCACTGCATCAGTACTGTGGCCTCTCTGGAATAAATAAGGGGGCTGGGTTTATTCAGCCGAAGCTAATTATTGTTTGAAGGTGTTGCACTTGAAAAATGCTAACGGAGTGGTTGGTCCAACAAAGCAAAGTCCTTAACTAATGCTGGGGTATTCTTGAAACAGACTGTCTGACAGCATCTGAATGCAAAACTGTTTATTACCACATTAATGGCATGTTAAAAGTCTACTATTATAGAAGGAAGCAGATGAATTAAAGGCATTCCTTCTAATCTTCCCAGAGGTGTTCCTAGTGCGTCAGATTTCATTCTGAGGAGCACTTCATCTGAAGCATGCGCACACCTTAAAGTTAGAATGAAACAAAAGCCGTGTGATGTGCGGTATTGTATGAAGGTGTGGTTTAAGGGTTTAAATCAGATTTTCAGTTGTGATTTGAATACTGAAAAGTGTGTGTGGATTAGTGAAAATGGCGACACTGAGCTGCGGAGCTGCAGACACACCTCCCCAATCTGTGTTGTTTTATCAGGAGGAGGAGAATAATGTACAAACTAGACCTCAACCACATTCTTTGTTTTTAACAGCTTAAATCCAATACACTCCTACTGTGAAGTTGCTCATGTTCAGGTGTGGTTTTTTTTATGGCGCGTGGGCTTAGTTACACACCTAAAATCACATTTGAGTTGGTACATTTATGTAGCTGTCCCCAAGTTCAACGTGAGACACTGTAAATATTTTTATGCGAGCACATAGAAGCATGTTCAAATCATGAAGATCAAAAACATTTCCTTAACGGCAGGAGTGGGAGACCTTTCAAATGCACTCACAAACAACGTAATCTTGGTCAGATTATAAAATATTGCTTGTGTTGTCGTTTAATTTGGAGGACTGGAATTAGCAACACATGTATGTTGAACAAAGCCCCGATCTTCCAACAGACTTCACCAACAATATTCTCTCTATTCACAGTTGACACCCCTCATGTGTCTCCCATTCCTCCCTGATCTCTGTTGTCCTTTAGTGGTGTTACCCCCCCAACACACTCACAAACATAACCACGCACACACACAACCACACCACACCAACCCTCCCCAAGGTCAGTCTTATTCAGATGGTACCATGTGTGAGTGTGTTTCCCATCTTTCTCCCTCTCTCTGTCTCTCTGTCAGGCCTTTTGTGTGTCTCCTTCTAAAGAAACTGTCAAGCCGAGGGACAAAAAGCATACTTTGTTTTGTTTTGTTTGCCTGTCTTAGTGTTTGTCTGAATGAGTGAGAGAGTGGAGTGGAGGAGAGAGAAGGAGAGAGAGGTAAAGAGAAAACGGTGAGAGAGTGAGAGTGAGTGGGGGGTAACATGTAATTTACTGTTTGCCCCACTCTACTGTACGTTGCTTTAGTTATGCTAATGCTGCTCTTTGTCAGGCTGAGGAGATAGCCATCAATCAGCTGTCAATTGGTCAAATGGAAGAAAAAAGACTGAGAGAGAAAGAGAGGGCCCCTGTTCCCGCCCTCCTTGTCCTCCTCTTCTTCTCCTTCTCCTCTGCTACCTAGCGGACGTGGGGGTCCTGGGAAAGCCTGGCAGTTAGATCCAGATCTGGATCTGGAGTCCAGGTGGAGCGCAAGAGGAAGATCTGAGGCAAAGTGCTATGAAAGTGCATAAAAAGTCTGTGCTTGAGTTCTTCTGACTAGCTGTCTATGTGATAAAAAGCCCCAAGAGTCTTGTTTTCTTGTTGTTGTTGTTGTCAGAAAGTGTTTTAAAAGAAGCATCTAATTGTAATATGACACATCTGGAAACTTACTGTGCCACTCACAGTTGTCAGCCGCTGTCAACAGAGGACAAACCCTTTATTATGCTAGCTAATGTTAGCGCTAAGATAAGCTAACAGGCCCATTAGTGCCAGTTCATTTAGCTCGTTAGCTGAAGCCTCGGGGCGGATGACATTCATTACATATCATTAGTGCACAATTAACATGTCTCGCTGTGACACCGTCGCTCCCAATGTTACACGACACTTTTAATCATGTTTTATGAAATGTTTCCGCTGGCGTGACATGATTTATGAGTTTTACATGACATGGCGTTCATTACATTAACCAGCTGTAATAATAAAAGCTGGTGCAGACTGATTCCAGGTCCAAAGTCAACATCCTGCACTGTCCTTGGAACTGAAAATTTGGGAGTGGCTTTTTAAAAATGATATTTTCCCCTTCAATAAAGAAATTTGTCATTCTATCACTCCCTTAGCATCTAATCTTCCAGGAATGCAAGTTACATTCTGCAGCACATTCCAGCACCAAGGTAAATTTAAAACAGATTCACTTCTAATTTTTAGAAAAACACAGACCAAACTGCTGTTTGTAAAAGCACTCAGTATAGTCATGGTGGTGATGAGGTGTGTCAGACTTAATCTGCATTATGACAGTTTTTAGTTCATATCATTTGCAAGTTTTTATGTGATTTGTTGCACTGGAGACCCAGTTTTCTTCCAGGAATGCATTAGTAGGGACTCTGAAAGTAGCTATATTTACAGGGGCTTTATGTCAGTTTGAGGCAGGTGTTTCTAGTCTATTTAAAGGGGCGCTCCACCAATTGCACACATCAAATTCAGTCTACTTGTCACTGGGAGCAACCACTCAGCTTGTTGAAACAGTTGTGTAATATCTTTTGTGAAAAATCTGACCGAATCCATTGATTTTTGAGCTTTATCTGCAGTAGAGAATAAAAGTCTCTGATTTTGTTCTTTTTTTTAGAATCTGTGTCTTGTGATTCCTCCAACATTATAGAAGTACAGTATTAAATTGGAGTATTTCTTTAATGATTGCATAAAACCTACCTTAAGCCTTTGTGTCAGATATGATGTCTCACATACAGTAGGATGTGCTCAGGTGCAAAAGGTTTGTTACATATTAATTTCTTAGAAACATAAATCTAAGCTCAAATTTAGATCAAGACTGGAGGATCATCTTATTAAAAAACTGCAACAACAGAAACTTTCACAACTAATTTAATACATTTTTTATTAAAATTGGCTTGGAATTATTGAATTAAACAGCATAATTTTCCAAAATGCTAAAATTTTATTCCATTGACTTCCACTTAAATTAGAAGGTCCCTTTAACAATCAGGACTTCATTTTTCTCATATTCCGGACATTTTATGTGAACTAAAATGCATCACTGTTTGATTTCACCAGAATATCATCCTTGTTTTTCATTTGCTTGAAGCAAAGTTGTGACTGCCATTACTACAGAACCATGAGAAATCCTTTATATACAAAGATCTAAGAATGCTTATGTCCAGACACTCACACACACACATACGGACACACACACAGACACAGACAGAGGTGCAAACGGTACTATTCTCTTTTTTCTCCCTATCACACTCACCCACCCATTGATCCACACACAGACACACAGATAGGGAGAGAGAGCAGTATTGATTTTGCTGTCTCCAGGTTGTTGTGAGTGTGTGTACTTGTGTGTGTGTGTGTGTATAAAAGGGATTAAGGCCCTCGCTCAGCTGTGATACCATCAGCCATCAACCCTGCTAGTCCGCTTCGGGCTTTCCCGGCTGCCGCATTGTCTATTCTGCTCCGCTATGTGAAAAATGTTGAATATCAACAATGGCTTTCAGTGGTGTATTGTTGAGTTTTTGTATGAACTAATCTTGCCTCAGTGAAAGAGACCTAGGTCTTGGACAAAACATCTAGAGCCACAGCATTCCTAGCTGGCTCTCCCCTTGAACACTGAGCAGAAGGCTGGGGCTGAGGGAGGCAGAGTAGAGGGGAAGGCAGGCTGGAGGAGAGGCAGGGACAGGGAGAGCCAGGGCCGGGGTAGGAGCTCCGACGCCGGGGGGTTACAGGGATGGGAGGCCAGGGGTGGCTGGGGGAAATGGTATGAAGGTGGGAGGGCAGGCAGGACACAGGAACTGAGCTAAGGGGGGAGAAAGGTGAGGGAGATGGAGGCTGCAATGAAGGTGCCATAGCTGGAGGAGGAATGATAGGCTAAAGAAAGGATGAGACAGAGGAGGAGGCCAGGTAGGGAAGGTAAAGTGGCAGTGAAGAAGAACCGGGAGAAAGAGTCAAGACAGACTAGGGTGTCAGGGGTTAGACAGAAATTTTACATGTACTGCGTAGAAATGCTAGATGATTATAGGAGAATACGGTTTTTAAACAGGAGAAGATTTATGGTAGAAACTAGGCTAAGCTGGGAGTTAAGACAGACAGACGGGCAGCAAGACAACAAGAGACCAAACAGAGGCAGAAAAGCTAGATAAAATCATTACTCCACCTCTAACAGTGGTGAGTCTGGGTTCCTTATCCTGACATGGATGTAATGCTGGTTTGGACAGCGGGTGATGTCCAATCAGACAACAGGACCACAGGCCTTGTCATGATGACAACCGTGACATCACTGCAAGGTAAGCTGAGTGGAAGACTGGCTGACTCTCTGACTGTGGTACCGACCACCCAAATGCGAGAATTAGTTGATTGGCTTTCTGAACGTCGTCTTATCTTTTCTTTTTCTCCCACTTTTTTCAAAACAATCCAGGTGTGGATGCAGATGTAGAGTGTGTGAGGAATAACTGGAGGGTTTCAGTGCAGGCCTTCCCAGCTGTGCTGGTGTTTTCATGCAGTTTTATCTGGTAAAAAATGCCTGTGGTGCAGCTCAAAGTGAGGTTTGCATCTCTGTGTGTGTGTTGCCATCTCTGCGGTCTCCTTCCTGTCCTGCTGTGTCTGTTGAGACTCCTGCAGACGGAGGGAAAAAGGGAGAAACGCAGAGGTGGGGCTGAGTCCATATGATTTTTGTTTCTCAGTGATGTATGATATATGTTCATGTTGGCATGATGGCAGAGTAACATTGTGTAGAATTGGGAGTTCTATGCAAAATTTGTTTTCTGTATTGCATTTTAGCAATTCAGCGGCACCAACGTAACATTCATCGTGCACACATTCACTCAGGGAGTTGACCAGTATGACCACAGCCATCTGTAGAGCAGGGTGTGGGGGTGGGGGTGGGGGTCCACCTGCTTTGCTTAAGGAGACACCAGCACTGATTAGTGAGTTAATTAATGTATTATACTACTCTATACATTGTGTTTATATCAGTAGTGTTTTTGCAGTTGATCATTTTATATTAACAGGAAGTGATACAATAATTGCACCATCAATCAAAATTACACTTAATACATGTCTTTTTTTTTTTAGCTGGTCCTGGTGTTATATGATTAGGCTGAGCTTTTTTCACTTTTCTTAGCACATTGCATTATGGGAGAAGAGTGTATGTCAATAGCAAAAAAACAGGTTGTTTAGTATTCATACTGTTGCTGCTACTGTAATAGCGTGTGCACTTTATTGTGCCACTTTTTCCAGTTTCAGCAAACTGCATACTCAGCCTGCTGAGAATGATCTGTGGTATGGTTTTAGGACACAGATCGTCTCCCTGCTCAGATTTTAACTTTGTCATTTCATGCCTGGAGCTCGTGGACTCCCTGACCTGCACACTGCAGTTCTGTTGCACTTTAGATCTATTCTACTTTGGATGTGTTAATTATCAAATCTTAAAATGCTAGAACATTAAATAAATTAGTAGTGAATATATGTAAGAACTTTGTATGAACACTTCCAGTGCAGGGAGAGTGTCCTCTTTTGCAGCAGTGAGAGTGACACGTAGTTTTGACAGTGCTGGCTTTTGTGTTACACTGTGGGGTCTGCAAGGGTCAAAGTGGTGTGTGTGTGTGTGTGTGTGTGTGTGTGTATATGTGGCAGTTAGGGGTGAGTGCCACTGAAACCTGGAATTGAGAGATGGTTGGCTTAACCCTTCACCCCCAACACACACACACACGCACATGTGCACATGAGTGCAGTCTAATCGGTGGCCCCTGGTGATTTGTCCTCTCAGCTTGAAGCGATGTCATTCCTCTCTGCTCTCCTCACAATTATAGCCCTGAACTGAACTAGAAAATTTGATCCTATCTAGCAATTAGTTGCGAGGCCACTGCCTGTGTGTGTGTGTGTGTTTCAGTTCTTGTGAGTACTGAGCAGGAAGACTGAAGTTGGCATCAGCCATATAGTGATTTTGTTTGTGTTTCTGAGATGTTGTCAAATTAATATTTTTTACTTTTTTGTCTTTATTATATCAATGGATTGAGTCTCACACCAACAGTGCTGAGACAGCATCTATCTGAGCCCCTTGTAAAGTTGAGGCAACATGCTACTCTCTTTTTGTCTGGTCAGTCTAGAAGAGAATTTCTAGTAGAAATTTCTTTGAGAAGTTTAAATTTTAGCACAGTTTACACATGATAAACAGCGCTACTTTGTACATTGAGCTGCAAAGCAATAAAGAAGATTTTGTGCCAAATGAAGAAACACAGACGCTGAGGAAGGTCAAGTGGAGATTCTGTTTCTCTGTTTAATATATAGAATTATTAAACATCAAGATATCTGCGTTAAACTACTATTAACTTGGTGTAGTCATTGTATGTTAGAAATAAATGTCAAGGATGTCATTTTATGTAGCAAAGATATTGTCTTAGGGTAGTTATAGTGAAAGGGACATATTTTTATTTGTGAAAATCTGTTTGTTTATCTCCTGGACAAACAGTGCCCTCTTCCTACAGTGTTTTGTGTTGTAAAGTATGACAAAACGTCAGCACAAAATCCAAAACTGGGCAGTACTCATGTTTTTATCTTAATATACATAAAAGTAATGGATTGAAACATTTAAATGGGACCCTTAATGCCTATAAGTAGTTCAAATTTGTACATTAAAATACTTATAATTTTATGATTTTTCTGAAAGTGCTCTGGAAAATGCATAATTCCACTCTCATGCCAAGCAATGGCATGACTGAATAGCCTACTGTGCCCTAATTATAACAGCACGTCACCTGCCTGGCTGAAGCAAAGTAGCCTCACCATAAGCCTATAAATAGAGGTAAAGACATTGTCTGGTTCAGTAGGTTTAAAGTAATAAAATGCAAAGTCCTTCCAAGTGTCACAAATACAATGTGTAAGGACGAAGTGGTCACGGGAGGAGAGAGGAGCACTGTGCAGGGGAGGAGGGAAGGTTTTCGTGGCCAGAGGTACAGCAGGCCTGACTGGGCAGCGACAGAGACCCTTAGTGCTGCCTGGCTTCCTCCTAAAGACTCTATGCGTCCCCCTCGTGCACGTTGCTCCAGGGTCTCCTTCCTCTCGTTTTCCATCACTCTCTCCTTCACTTTCCTCTCTCTTCCTTTTGTCCCTTCCCTCCTTCACCGTCCAGTTCTTCCCGCTTGCTCTCTTCTTCTCACTCCACTCCTCCATTTCTCTCACTTCCTTAGCTTTTTTCCCCTCCCCGTCTGGGCCATTACAGACACTCAGCGGCGGGCTGAGAGGCGGGGGTGGGTGGCTGCAGTGGTGGGATGAGGAGATTGAGAGGGGGACAAAAGCCCTAGGATGCGGCGGCCCGACGAGAGTGGCTGCCTTTGAAAAGAAGCTGGACGGCTTCTTAATGCAGTGAGTGGACAGACAGACTCGGGTAGATAGACAGAGCAGACTCAGCTCTTTATCCTCGTCCTTTAGCTGATGCCTGTTTTGGCCAAAAAAGCACATCATTCGCCTTGTGCCCTTCCTGCTGCGCCTGATGTTTTATCCAACATGCTAAGATGTGATGGAGGGATAGGTGGAGGGAGGCGGAAAAGAGACACTTAAGAGGCTGACGGGTGAAACTTTTCTGCTTCCTAAGAGGAGGAGAGGCAAACATGTAGATGGCATAGAAGTGTGCGTACCTCCATTTCTTTCACAGGTTGCATCTCTTTTATTGTACATTAAGACATAACACATTAGTGTTTCGCTGTTCTGTTGTTAATGTTTAGGGAGTAAATACTGGCAGTGGATGCAGCACATTAACAGAGCTGAAAGCGCTGCATGCAGGTTTTTACAAAACTGCTTTTAACAGCTAATAAAACCGCCACCCTACAATGCTAAAATGCAAACATGATCAAACTGGTATCTTGTTATGATGATATTTTTGGTCCTAAGCACTTTTTGCTTTTTTAACTTTTTTCTCGCAGTTAAGAGATCAATAAATAATAAAGTAAAATAATTGTACAAATCCATAACTCTTTGTGACACACTATCAAGGACAAACAACTCATTCCTTCAAAAGCTTCAGTAGTAAACAGATGAGCTGAATGGATTTACTGGCCCACTCCCGTCTTTTATCAACCTAATTCTCTGACCAATTATGGCAGTTTCTATTCGGTGGTATTACTTCACTCAGATGGGAGGGGTCCTCTAATGATATTTTCTGCCTACATTTATTTACTTGTGTGGGCTGTCTCTTTGTTGTGGGTGGTGTAGGAGTGTTATTATGGATTTGGCTGTGAGAGCTTAGCTGCTCTGCGATTGTGATATCAGCTGGACTTTGATCAAATGCAACAAGCTCTAAATCCACTTTAATCAGAGCAATGCTGGTTTGTAGACGAGGAGACTTCACAACAACTGCAGCTCAGGGACGTTTCTGAGAAACCAGGGGAATAAGCACAGACTTATTGGCACTTTTGTATTTGTGCCAGTAAACTTTAATGAAGTTAAGGTTGCACTGGAAACAGTTTTGGAGGTTGTAATCTGGAAACAAGGTGTGTTACTGTATTAACTAATTACCTGTTTTAAGACTTTAAGTATTTCAGTTTAACATTAGACTCCCCTCACGTGCCGGGAAGCGTTGCAGCCACTTGTACCATTAGCTTATACTAGCCTCCTGCTTTCTTTATTTCCTTTTATTTATTGCATTACATTATGTAACATAAAGACACATGTATACTAAAACTGTATACCAGTTTATCTGCTCTGTTGTTGAAACTTTGTTTTGAATGTTGAACCAACGATGTCTACAGATCTTGTGCGAACAGTGACAGTGTGCATCAGTGGGTCAAACACAAGAAGAACACAAGTTCATACCCAGGGTCAGATACTGGGTTTATGTGAGAAGACAGAGCAGATTCACCTGTTCAGCCACTGAGCCCAGAGGTTGTTGTTGCTGCTTCATGACCCCACATCAGTGAAACTAAACTTAAAGCTCAGTAAAATCAAAGAAGCGTGTTTGTTTTTATATCTTAATTTGATTGAAAACTGATTCACGGATGTATTGCTCTGCCTGCAGCGATGTATTCTAGAGTGTGTGTGCATATTAGCAGAAGCATGGATAGACTGTCAAACAAAGAGGTTAGAAGAGATGGCAGGGGATGGGTTTATTGCACAACAATAGGTTTATAAGGCTTAAACTGATCTGCAGCATACCTACAACAACAGCCAAACACCCACACACACACACACACACGCAGGCATTGCACATATACATTCATACAGCGGCACCAACCATCCTTAACATGTGCCAGCAAATCACACACACACACACACACAGTGAGAACAGTCAAAT